CCTACTGTACTGTTGGTGGGAGTGTAAACTTGTCCACCCATTCTGGAAATCAGTATGGAGGTTCCTCAAAAGACTCCACATAGAGATCCCCCAGCAATCCCACTTTTGGACATTTACCCAAATGATTACAAATAAGGCTATACTAAAGCTACCAGCACAACTATGTTTATCACAGCATTATTTACCATAGCTAAGATATGGAACCAACCCAGATGCCCCCTCAGTAGACAAGCGGATCAAGAAAATGTGGTATATATGTATATATATATATATATATAATGAATTTTTATGCTTATTGATTTTTTAAATACCTCATTCGTCTCCATATTTAAGAACAACATTTAAAATTTAGAATTACCCATGGCATACTATCTATCTTTTTCATCTCTTGGGCAGATGGACCCAAATGACTTGATATAATCATTAATGGTTTTGAAATCATTAATTATCTAAGAGCAAAAGTCTCTTCCATGTCGTTTTGCTTAACAATAAAAAATAAAACAAAAAATAGAACAGCTCATAAATTTCTGTTGAGTACTCCAAGCTAGGAGCTCCTGCCAAAGCTAGATTTGGAATTTTGAATAACACACATCCTCACATTTTTCAAAGTGTATCATCCAGGCATTGAGGATAATTTCTAGCCAAGTCCTAGGAAATTATCCATGGATTTTCTAAACATAGACTGGGAATTGTTATGCTGAAGCTAATGTCAGTTAAGGTCTGATGATGGAGAAAACAACGACAACATTATTGAATTTTTGTCCTAGTAAAAATTGCACATTCCAAAGCCAGTTATCAGTTTATCATGTTTTATTCATTAATTGAAGCTATTTTCAAGAGTGTCAGATAATTTTATAGGTGGCTTGCTTTATGTTGTGAAAGACTAAGTAAACATGCTTTCTGCAACTTTGTGATTTATTAGCCACAGAGGGAGAACTAGTGGGAGAAATGTGCTACATGGAGAAGGAGAAAATGAAGCTCTCTTTGGCCACAGTTTTTATCGTCTCTAGATTCCTGCTGGGTGGATGGCAGGAAACGCAAGGGGCACAGTTGCTAAAAACAGCACATTAGCTGTTAAGACATAGTTCTTCAGGCTTACAAAGAGAATGGAGTTCATGTTAACTCGCTTCCATTGCTTACCCAGGCACTTGATTTCCTGGGCTTCTAAAGAAAACCATGAACATGGGTGCTGCAAAGCAGAGACCCATTCATATAGTGTTCCAGTATCTTCCCTCTGTATGTCTTCCCTGTCTCCTCTTATGAGGACATCCATCACATTAAATTTAGAATCCATCCTACATCTGTGGGAGCCCACTATAATTAAAACAAATTATCCCTGAAAAGACCCTAGTTGTAAATAAGGACACTTCCTTATAAAAAGACTTCAAAATATCATTTTACACAAAACAAGACCTTTCAAGTATGCTTCTAGATGTTACACTTCCTTTCCATGATATCTAGCTTATGAAATTTGAAATATACTGTCTAACCACCTGTTTCATGAGGATATTCTTACGTCATTGCTGCTGAAATGAACTTACCAAGTTCTGCTATTCCCTAGCTGCCTGCCCTCGAAACAGTTTTTAATTAGATTGTGCTTAAGTTTTTCCCTCTGTTAAATAACGCAAATGCTACTCCTATATATTGTAACCTTATATCAAATAAACTTAATATATACAAAATATTTTACACAGCATCTGGTACATAACAAATCATATAAAGCATTGTAATTATTTAAGACTATTAGGAACCCTTTCTATGCCCTATCAAAAACAAGCAAAAATTGGTCAGAATTGGTATTTTTAAGGACAATGGGCATTTTGTATTGATTATTTTGTGTTTGTCTTGTGGGAATATTGCACATACGTGTGTGATAAATCAGCTACCTGTGTGAAAGTTTGTGCTGAGGTAGAAATGCCTATACATGTTTGTGTGTGTAGAGGTCTTTAACATATTTTTTATTTAGAAAGAGGAAAATGTTTTAAGATGCATAGATCAAAGCATAGTAGAAATAATAGATGCCATTTTATACATTTTTATAAGTGACCAAACCGTATCTAAAAATCCTTGGAAATAAGCTTAATGAAACTTAACCATGTTTGCAATGGTCTAAGATAAACAATCAAAGCAAGACTAAACAACCAATAAGTAGTACAATACCTATCTAAGCCCAATTTTTTTTGCCTCAAAATCAGTTGCTTTTTCTACTTACCTATCTCCTTAAGTAGTGAATATGTACCTTGTGCACCTTACAGATGAGATTATTTCCCTCATGTCTAACTCTTTTATCACCCAGAGAGCAGCCATCTATCCATCAAAGAACACTTCTCAACACAACATTATCTCAATCAATAGGGTTTTTTTAAAGTCTAAATAAAACATATGTTCTGGCTTAAGAAGTTCATAGTTAGACGGTAAATGGACATGCAAACATGTAACTTTGGGGCTGTGGAGAGTTGTAACAGGTTATAGAAGAAGAGCTACCTGATTTCTAGGTGGAATGGAAGAAGTCAAGGAAAGCTTCTATAAGAGACATTTTGGGAAGTTGAACATTGCCACGATGAAAATGAGCTACCCTACTTAGGAAAGAGTTGCTCAAACTCGGGATTCTGATCTACAGATAATGAGAAATACCTCCATGCAGAAGAGGTATTTGTATAAAAATAAAGTCTGTAGCTTGTGAATCTTGTCACAGAGCATGGAAAACAGAAGTGAAGTATGGGTAGATGTGAGTGAAAATAGACATTCAACATTCCAACAGAGGCTTCTTGGAACTTTGCCTGATTTCATTGGTTCAACAAAACAATTTCTCATGTAATTATGTACATAAAATTTATTGAATGTCCTGTCTTGTATCATAATTTTCCCTTTCCTTCTGTCTGCCAACATCCCGGTCCCACTTAACTCCAAGATCCTTAATAGAAACACTCGAGTTAGGAGACGACTGGAAATGAAATTAAAACATCCCCTTGGCCAATTCAGTGTTCTAAGAGGGGACTCAGAAATGCTGTCTGACAAACATTCATCCCTTTAAATCAAACTCTCATCCCTGACATTGTTTCTCTAATAACCCTGGAGAAATTTGAAAAGCAATGTTTCACCATTGCCGGAAAGCAAAGCATTTTCCACTTGTGAGAATAATTTAACAATGGGGGAAGAAAGTTTGCGTGGTTTTTATATTCCACACAGAAGGAACAGAACATCAAGTGCTTTTTAGACCGACAGACAAGAACCTGAAATCTCTCCTCGGTGAATAAAGTTATTTGGAGAATCATTTATTTATTTAAAATGTGCATGTTGCTAAGATACAAATTTGCAACAGGCGCATAACTTCACTTAAGTTTCTGGTCCCTGCAAAAGAGTCCTGTGTATTGTGATCAAATGATGCCCTAAACTGCCCAGACGTAGCTCTTACGACTTCTCTGAGGAAGAGTGACAATTGGATCTGGATGCCTGGTGATAAGTAAGGGTCTTATCATATAGTCACTTAAGAACTTCTTAGGTTCAGTATCTTTCTTTTTGATAATTATCATTCTTTTTTATCGTAAATTAACAGCTTTGATCTCTAAGTAGATCTGTATTTATTAAAAATTTTAAAATACTATGTCAGGTGCATTCATTTTGATTTTGATTACTTATTATTATTATAAATTATATAATACAGCAAGTTTCTTTATGGCACTTTTATTCCTTAAGATAACCTCTAACACTTTTGTAATATCTGTGTGTGTGTTCACATGATAGCTCATTCATGTGTACATGTGCCGGTCCTGGAGCTGTAATTCAAGGCCTAGCCAGTATCCTTGAGCTGTTCTGCTCAAGACTAGTAATCTACCACATGAGCCACAGCTCCACTTTCCTTTCTCAGTAGTTCATTGGAGATAAGGGTCTCACAGACTTTCCTGTTCTGGATGGTTTCGAACTACAATCTTCAGATCTCAACTTCCTAAGTAGCCAGGATTAGAGGTATAAACCACTGGCACTTGATACACCTTTTTTATTTTAAAATCCAATTCCATATATGAGAGAAAACATTCAAGATCTGTTCATTTTTCTGCAGATAACATAGTTTTGTTCTATGTTATGGCTGAATAAAACTACATTATATAGACTGTCTTTTCTTTATCCATTCATTTGTTGATAGGCATATGGACTGACTCGATAACTTGGTTATTATAAATAATTAGTTAAACAGAAGAGAGGCATAGAGTGAAGAGTTTTTTT